GATTTCTTGTTTGTAGAAGGTTACTTAAGGTTTTAACTCGGTCAATTTCATCCATGCTGAGTTGTTTGAGGTGAAATATCTCTTGGTTTTCTTGTTTCTTTACCTGGTTTATTTCTATCTGGGGCAGTTGGAATACAAATTGTTCATGAGTAGTAGTTTCGGACTGAAACGTTTTCTGGTTAACGAGGATCTTGCTTTTTTCTAGTGATATGGTGCTTGGTTTAAATATTTCAAATATTCCATCAGCGTCACAGGATGTTTTCACTGTCGTCTTATTGGCTGGTATTATAAGGATGGTTTTTGAGTTGATTTGTGTTACTGTTGTTTCGGAGAAGTGTATTTTTGTTTGCGAGCATGAGTTTTTTCCTGTTCTGATCAGGTCCGCTAGACAACTTTGTTGCTGGTGTAAGTTAATCTCGAGGCAGAAATACCAATCTTCTATTTCTGGGCATTTCTTTGATGTGGTCCAGTATGTTTCAATATTGAGCAACATATAAGATTGTTCGGGAAAAATGGTATAATTTGATATAGGTATGGGGTATAAATGGAATAGTTTATATTGGGAATTGACTAATGGAACGTGAATTTTAAATAGAATCATTTTATTTTGAATAACTACTTGTGTAGATAATAATGAGTAATAATAGAATAGAATTTGTTTTAACTTTGGTACTTGTGAATTTCCATATATTTGCTCTAGTTTTTCAAGCATTGTTTCTATATAACTAGGTTCTATTATTGAACTATGTAAAATATTTATTCTTGCGAAAGAAATTGCAGTTTCTAAATTGTTTATTGTATGCTCAATTGATTGCAATTGTATTAATAAATTATCTATAATATTGGAAAATGAAAAAGAATGTTCTAAGTTTATAACTGAACGGATTTCTTTTGATAAATTTTTTAGTTGAATTTCTAAAGTTATTTCATTTTCATTTATTTTTTTGAAATTATTACTATATGTTTCTGACATTTGATGTATAAGACTTTGTTGGGTTTTTAGATCGCCGTGGAGAGTCTGTTCATTTAAATGTAGTTTTGTTAGGTATTGTTCTATGTATTCTCCGTCTTCTGAATCTAAGGTACCAAAAAGCCATTTTTGTATTGTTCCTATAACATTAAGTAACGTTCTTTTATTTCGCTTAATTTTTAAGGGTAAGAATTGTTTCGCTTAAAGTTGAGTCGAATCTTTCAACAGGGCTGTTGCTATTGGGATTATAGAGAGTTGTGTAGTGAATTTCTATATGATGAGTTTTGCATAAGCCTTGGATGACTTCATTTTTCCATTCTGTTCCGTTATCGGTTGTAATGCGTCTTGGAAGTCCAAAGTGACTAAAGTATTGTATAAGTTTATTTGCAACTTCAACTGAATTAGGGTTATTTAAAGGATAGGCTTGTCAAAATTTAGAAAAGCTATCTATGATTGTGACAAAATATTTTCCATGTGTTTTATATGTGTCTGTATATATGTGGTCAAACGATTCACAACCTATAGCTTACTAATTTTGTAGGGTGTCTTTCGTATTTTGTCATCTGACATATTTCACATGAGTTTACATATTCTCTAACGTCTTGTTCTAATCGGGGCCAGTAGAATATTCGCTTAATGGCGTTTATGTTCTCTTGTATTCCTCTATGACTGGTTTTTGTTTCATGATATAATTTTAGTTTTTCTTTTCTTTCGTCTTCGTCTGTAACATCCGTAAGAATCGTATCTGTTTTGAATAGAATAAATGCGTTATTTTTGAAATATTTCTGGAAAATGTTAATGAACATTGGTTCTAAGGTCTTATCTTTGAAAAGGAAACAATAAGTTTGTCTTGGAATAAAATATTCTTTAATAAAATCTGTGATAATATGTTCATTATCCGATTCGGGAATGGATTATTGTATTCGATTTTTCTCGAAAATTTTCTCTCTTATTACTTTACGATTTTTATTGTCTGCATCTCTATGGCTAGAAATAATAATTTGGTTTTTGAAAGTATTAATAGATTTGTTTATATGGGAAATACCTATAACCGGATTTTCGTGACTAGAATGTATGGTTTCATTATCTGCATCTGTAAGTCGATTGGCATTGGGTTCTTGAAGTGGATCGGTAATAATTTCAGGTTGTTCTTGTTCAGGTGATGTCGATTTTGGAAATGGTTCTGTGGTCTTTGATTGTTCATTGAGAAATTTCTATTTGACGGTAATCTACTAGAAGTGGAAATATCCATTGGTTCTGATCTTCTTGCAGGTTGATAGTTCTGTGAGAAATTCTTATTGGAAGGTAATCTACTAGAAGATGAAGTAGCCGTTGGTTCTGGTCTACCTGTAGGTTTATGAGAATTTCTGGGCCAAAAAACGTTAGCTGGTTTTCTAAATACTTGTTCATTTGTGAAAAACTTTTGGGGGACTGATCTGGGTTGAATGTTTATGGGTTGACTTGGAAAGTTCGGCACTTGATTCGGATAGGTGTGTTGAAAACCCATTGGTAGATAATTTGAGCTTCTAACGGGATTAGTATTTTGTTGAGGTCTTGAAGAATAATTTTGTGGATTATATTTTTGTGGGGGTCTAGGACTAGGATGATTGAAATTTTTCAGATTAACTTGTTGTTCGAATAGAGAGTGGTTTATAACTAGGGATGTGGCTTCTTCGATAGATTTTGGATTTTTTAGTAAAAGGAGAGTTCTTAATTCAGAGTGAGAATTTGATATAAGGACGGTAATAGCTGTTATTTCATTTTGGTTTATCAAGACCAGCTTGGTGGCTTGATCGATGTTAGGGTCAGAATTTATTTTTAAATTTAGTCGCATTTTAATAAGTTTTAATCTATCTAAAAAATCTATAATTGATTCGTTTCTATTTTTGCTTAAATATATAAATTGTTGTTGCAGTATATGCCTATCAACTTTGTCTCCGAATTTTTCGCGGAGTGCCGTTTTTATTTGGGGCCAAGTGTTTAAGTCTGGGCGGCATAACAAAAAGTCTCCAGCTTCGTCAACAATTTTAGAACATATAGCAGCGAAAACAAATTCACTTAAGCTATTATCCGTTGTATTTCCGTATCTATTAAAAAATTTATCAGTTGCACTTAGGAATGATTCTAAATGCTCGCTTCTCCCAGAGAAGGGACGAAGGGTATTTGCAATTTCCTTAGCAGCAATGATTGTTGCCATTTCCGAATTTATATGTAAATTATTTAAGGATTCAGTTAGATGATCAATGTTCATAAAATTTTATAAAAGATATAAGTAAAATAGTCTTATTACAAAGTTAATAAAATAATAAAAATATATATAATATATGGATATAGGAAATTCGTTTTCTGTTATAGAAAAATTTTACCTTTTTACCAAAATAAAACTTTAAAAATACAATTTATTTATAATAATATTTTTTATTGATGTAATAAAATAATAAAAATATGTGGATTCAGGAAATTCGTTATTTGTTATAGACAAATTTTACCTTTTTACCAAAATAAAACTATAAATAAAATTTTCTCAACAATGATTTTCTTTAAAATTCACTTGAAAAAATTAAAAGAGAGGAAAATAAAGGAAATAGTTGCTCAACACTTACTTGTTTTATGTTCAGAGGTTCTACTTCTCGGTTCTCGTCGTCCAGGTGAATTGGTTGAGACCAAAGGCGAAAACAGTTTTTTTTCTACTCAGCTTTCACTCCTGGATCCTACTGACTGCGCCAATTTTGTTTTTCTTCTTAGAAAACTTGTTTTTAAAAACTTTTATTAACTAAATAACTTACAACTAATGATTACAATCTCAACTACTAGTTTGGAAGAGACTTCAGCAATGCCTCTTATTTTAGTCTATGGTTCTTTTATATAAAATATTATCATTACAAATAAATATAAATATCGTTAAAGTTAAATATAGGGAAAGTACAATTAGAAAATAACATAATTAGGAATATTTACAATTGGTAGAAATCTCATTATAATCAAATATAGGAAAAGTACGACTATGAGTAAAAATACATATCGGGAATTTTATACATTTTAACTCATGGCAAAGCAATATATCTTCATGCTAAATTTATTTTAAAGATTTTACTTAGATGCGGTAAAAGCACACCCTAGCTCTTCTTTAGACGGGTTTAAAAAATTACATAGATAAAAAAACACAACATTGTTTTTATTTTCTTAATAATACCTATAGTCAGCTTGAAGACAGAACTTAACTTGAATTAAAACTAAATTAATAATATAGTCAGCTTAAAGACAGAACTTAACTTAAATTAAAACTAAGTTATTTTAGCGAAACATGTGAATTAAACTATATTTTGTGTTAAGTTATATTTTTTAAATTGATATAAGGTCTAATGCGCGAATAAATAACCTTTGATAAAACGAAAGGCAGATATCGAGCACTGTTTTATTAAATAAACCAGCCCACGTACTTTCGCGTCCTAGAGCATCTTCAGGGGAATTTCGTAAATTTTGGGTTATACAACAATAATTGCAGAATGTCATAAACTTAAAATTAAACATATAATTGAACATAACACTACACTAAACAAGGACAAACAGTAAAATTATTTAAAAAATAGTGGAAGCTACAGTCTGGTCGGCAACAGGAGAGATAATGATGAGAGAATGATCATTCTCTCTCCTGTTGCCGACCAGAATGCAGCTTCCACTATTTTTTAAATAAGTTTAAACTGTTTATTTGTAATATTGTAACTGTTTTTTTATAATAATAATCATATTTAAAAAGTTATAGCTAATACATGCCTTTAATGATGACCAAAGCCAAAGCAAATAGTGGATGCTGTCACAAATTTAATAAAAAACTGAGAAATACAATTGTGTAAACTAATTAATGCCTACGAAGCATTCTTCTAGAAACTATACGTATAATATAATGAATGTATTTAACTTAGCAAGATTTGTTGCTTTTCAAAGTTTGAATAAAATTTGTTGCCTTAATAATTTAATTTTATTAAATAAATAACAATTTTTTATCTAAAAGGTATAAATATATACTTACGTATTCTTGGATTTCAGGTACATAAAATTTGTTGTATTCATCTATAAAACAGTTTACTTTATTAGCGAATTCGGTTTTGGTTTCATTAGTCCACCACGAACGTCTGGTACCATCTGCATCATATGTTTTACCATCATTATCAAATCCATGAGTCATTTCATGGCCTATTACACTTCCAATTCTACTATAATCCAATATACTAAAATCACAATAAATTAACTCATATTTCATTTGGATTGCTTTTCTCTTTTAAATATCAAGGTATTTTAAGATACGGTAAAATGAAATATAGTTTCTTCTTTTTTCTTGGCTCTTTAACTTTAAGTGATTCTTGGCCGCGTTTACTATTTTTCTCCACTCTTGCCGGTCTTGGGCAGCAATATCTAATTGGTACATAACCATCTTATGTAGATCACGTGGTTACTGCATCTTTCCATTATTTTTTTAAGCAATTAACTGACCTTCTACCATCAGAACTTTCCCAGAAGGTTGTATGTAGTAGTCTTCTTTAAAAACTAATCACTTGAAAATTTCAAAATAAAATGAGAAATAACGACGTTTGAAAATTTATCTATAATTTTATTTAAAGAGACTAAAGAGGCTAAAGAAATATAGTGATGGTGTTTTGAATTCATACGTTAAATATTTTTATATTACATACCTGTTACCGCTACCAAAAAACAGTGGATTCAGCATAGCTATAGGAAAAACTGTAATAAAAATAAACTTTTGAAACCAAAATAAAAACATTTTACAGATCGTTATACTTACTCATTTTGTTATTGGGTTTATTATAATAAGCATTTACTTCAAACGGTGATTTATCCCAACTAAAAAAAAAAGAGCAATATGATTGGTAATTAAGTTTCGTTAATCGTTAAGGCTTTATTTTTTAAAGAGTTGTAGAAATATTCACAGATAAAACATATATTAGAAATATAATTAGAACTATAGTCCATGTAATTAGGCGAGGAAACAAAGCACTAGGCCTACGATGGTCCACTAACGACGATGGTCCTCGAGCTCCCTGGTGCATAGGGTGGACCACGTCTTTTGTAATTTTATATTATTTTCATTCAAAATCAGTCCAAGGTCATTTCTTGAAAGTTTTTCGAGGTCGCTGAAGATGAATATTATGACGGAGATAGTTCTCGAGCTTTCTTGTTATAAATAGGAACATGTTCTTATAAAGTCTTATATTATTTTCATTCGAAATCAGTCGAAAGTAAGTACTCGGTGAGTACATTATGAAAAAGACGGAGCCGCCAGTACCGGGGAAAGTACCCATAGAACTTATTGAATATGGCACTAATAAACTATTTCAGCTTTTAGCTTATACCTTTATTAATTTATTCTTGAAAGGCGAAGAACTACCCCCAGAATGGAAAACTACATATATCAGTAATCTATACAAAAATAAAGGCTACAGAAAGGATTGCAGGAACTACCGAGGGCTTAGTGTAACCAACTCAATCTGTAGAATGTACGGAAAGACAAATCAAAGCGAAATTGAAGATTCTTGAGAAGACGCTGATGATGAGAGTGGCTTTCTTACTGGTCGTTATTGTTTAGACAATGTGTTCTGTCCAAAATCGCTTAAAATTCAATCTGGAGACACTCATGGTATGTCGGGATCTTCAAAAGGCATATTATAGTGTCCCATTAGCCCAGCTGTAGAAGGTGCTAAAAGACAAGAAAATTCCATTGATTTATATTGGAATGCTGCGAGGGAGTTGTACGACGATAAAACAAGTTCAATAAAGGTTGGACAAAAAGTGATAAAAAAATAATGGTTTTCAAAGGACTACGCCAAGGCTGCTGCATTACACCTACGCTCTTTAAGATTTATTTAAAGGGGGTTTTGGATATTTGGAAAAGAAAATGTGAACCCATGGGTAATAAAATTGGAGATCATAAACTGTACAGCTTGCATTTTACGGATGACCAAGTAATACTAGCAGAAGATCAAGATGATATCCACTACATGCTGCGAAAAATAGATGAAGAATATACTAATTGTGATTTATTAATTAATTCATCAAAAACAGAGTATGTAGTAGTGGGAGGTGAAGGACGCCCTAAGAGGCAGACAAATCAAATATACTATACTGTACCGTCCTCCTCCTCAATCCTTTAGCCCTTGTCAGGGCGTAGTGACATCCTAAATATTGTTAGTCTGCTGTTTCATTGACTGCGATCTTGTGCCATATGGACGGCTTCATGTAGGGATTTTCCCACCAAACTCTTCATTTGGTCTACCCATCGTATTGAAGATCTTCCTCTTGGTCTTCGGCCTTCTACCTTTCCTTCTACTACCAATAGTTCCATGGTGCCCGTTCTTCTAGCTATGTGGCCGAAGTAAGTTAGGTATGCTTGGTTTACGTTTCAGTAGCCTGTCTTTTATATGAAGCTCTTCCAGAATTGACAGGTTGGTTCTATGTTCTGTCCAGGACACGCGTAGAATTCTTCTATATACCCACATTTCGAACGCTTCGATCTTACTCCTATCGATGTTTTTGAGAGTCCATGTTTCAGCTGCATATGTAGCAATGGGAAAAATAAGGTCATTGACCAACCTGAGCTTAGTATTCCTTGTTATTGTTCGGTCTTTCCATATTTTAATTAATTTAGCAGTTGCGGTTCGGGCCATTCCTAGTCTACGTTTGATTTCTGAGGAACAATCACCATTGTTGGTTATCAGAGAGCCCAAGTATACAAATCTGTCGACTACTTCGAAAATCCCTATTTGGCGTATATGCGGTAGATTATTATTTGCTCTGTCTACAATCATTATTTTTGTTTTTCCGGTATTGATTTGAAGTCCGAATTCTTCACTTATTCGGCTTAGCCGTTCGATGATGGTAATCATTTCGACTTCATTCGCTGCTAGTATAAGTGTGTCATCTGCGTATCGCAGGTTACTGATTTTTCTGCCTCCTATACTGTACCGTACTACGGTCGAATTACAAATGAAAAATAGCTGCTAGAATTGGCCAAGGTAATTCAGCAATCTTCTTCTTATGGTGCCTATCCGTTACGGATGTTGGACACTAACATGGCTATTCTGACTTTGTTGACTGCTGCCCTGAAAAGTCAGTCCGGTAGTGATTAAGTTAAATTACTTTCGCAGATTATGCAGCCAGGATATTCTTCTCCTTCCTGGACTTCTTTTCCCATGCACTTTACCTTGAAGTATGGTCCAAAGTAGGTCATATCGTTGTTCATTGCGCATTATATGACCCAAGTATTCTAGTTTGCGACGTTTTATGGTTACGACTAGTTCGCGCTCTTTACCCATTCTATATAGTACTTCTTCGTTGGTAATTCTGTCTATCCAGGAAATCCTCAACATGCGTCTATAGCACCACATCTCAAATGCTTCGAGTCTCTTCAGTGATGCTTTAGTTAAGGTCCATGACTCTACGCCGTATAAAAGAACGGAAAATACGTAGCATTTTAGTAAAGGAACTTTTATTTCCAATTTTATGTAGCCAATTCAGCAATACGCCAAGTGAATAGTATGCTTTGAAATAACCACAACACTCGAAACAAAAATAAGGATATCCAAAAGTATCATAGAAATTATTGCTATATATGATTCAAGGAATTGGGTAATAAATTAAAAAAGTTACATCCAAAATAACAGCAATAAAAATAAATTATTGGCGTAGAGTTTGCCAAATAACTAAAAGACTTATAGTAAGGGATACTGAAATCAGAGGGCATATGTGTATTGACATTAACATCCTGAAAACTATAGCATGCAAAAGACTGAAATAATACGGCCATGTCGAAAGGATGTATGACCAAAGATGGTCAAAGAAAATGGGAAAGTGGATTCCCGTGAACCGTAGGAAAAAGGAAAGATCAAGAAGGTCGTGAAGACAAAAAGTAAATGATGCAGTGCAAGATAGGGGTCTTTCAAATAGAAATAGGTGAATTATATATTTAAAACCATTGTTTTATGTATTATATATATATATATATATATATATATATATATATATATGTATATATATATATATATAATATATATATATATATATATATATATATATATATATAGGCAAGTAGAAAGTAATGACATGTCTCGCAAAACAAAAAACCAAAAATAGTATATCGATGGAAGGCAACCATATATAGGTATTTTTGACTATTGGTCGTCTTCAGTACGGTACAGCCAAGTTAGAAAAGGAGCATCTTAACTTGGAAAAGGATCACTACAGGAGCAAGGTAACCAATTTGTGGTATTAGAGTTAGTTAGAAGACCCTGATGGTTTCCAGGGCAACAACCAACACCAACCATGGAGGAAGCTACAGCTACCTGAGGAAAGGAATGCCAAACGTTAAAACGGTTAAAGCAAATGAAAAAGGATAATGCGAGTGAATAATAAAATTAAAAAGTAATGGCATGTCTCGCAAAACAAAAAACCAAAAATGATATATCTATGAAGGTAACCGTATTTCTTCTAACTCTAATGCCACAAATTGGTTGCATTGCTCCTGTACTGATCCTTTTCCAAGTTAATATGCTCCTTTTCTAACTTGTCTGTACCGTACTGAAGACGACCAATAGTCAGAAATACGTACATTCGGTTGCCTTTCATCGATACATGCCATTACTTTTTACTTTTATAATTTACTCGCATAATCCTTTTCCATATATAATATATATATATATATATATATATATATATATATATATATATATATATATATATATATATATATATATATATATATATATATATATATATATATATATATATATATATATATCGCTTCTCCAGAGCAACATCGACGCAAGTACAGATTACTAAAATGCTGGAAAATTGACTTTTAAAAATATTTTTACAGCAAAGTAAACAAAGTGAAAGTTTAAGTGAATATTTTTGAAACTGAAATTACGTTTTTTAATGGTAAATTTAGTCTAATTTTAAATGACAATCTTAGTGTTTTGATAATAAAACTTTTAGAGTCTACACAGATCTCAGAACTTTGCAGCCTCCCAGTTGCGTCATTGTTCTTCCAATGTTTTTCAAATAGTTTCTGAATCGGTTTGAGTTGGTCTACAATAGTAACATTAAAAAAATTTAAAGAAAGGTTTAGGTATATAATTTTATTGTCAGTAAATAATACAAACTACTCAAAATGATAAAAAATAACAAAAACACTACTCAGAATTACTAAAAAGTAACATTTGTTTTTTGTACACCTTTAAAAAAATTAACAAAAACATTCACAATTCAAAACAAGCTATTAAAAAAAGGTTCGTAATATTTGGGAATTATATTACTTGATAATAAATTTTCTAGGTCCCTTTTCTTATTTTCAGAGATCGGAATTTTTGAAATGTATGCAGGTCTTTTTCTAACATCTACATTATCATCTGTCCTTGTCACTCGTCTACTTTTTACGGTTATAGCATAGGCCTGATTCCAATCCACCTGTTTGTAGCTGGTTTTGTAAAAGAACCTATCACTTTCCTTCTCAAATCGAATTATTTTAATATCTGACAATTTTATTTGTTCGCCGTGTATATTTTTCTGGCAGTTGAAGCCGATGTCGTTAGCAAGCGTTTTCAAATCGATGAAGTCATTGTAACTTAATTCTTTTACTAGAAGAGGGTTTCCTTTTTTCTTTGCGTTTCTAATAATCGACACAATTTGATCGGGAACGTATATCGGTCCTGACTTTTTAGCTCTTTTCATAGCTTTTTCGATGATACTGTGGACTACATCACCTTCGTTCTGTGTATGACCTCGGATGAGATACTTGTGTGTTATGGAATTTAACTGAAACTTCTTAATTGCGTAGTAATACATTGCAAGGACAAATCTGTTTTTTTGCTGACCACCGCAGTTATCGGAATAAAGAATTATGTCAGATTGAGGATGTGTATTAGCGATTTCTTCAAGAAATGAAAGGACACATGAACCAATTTCGACTGCTCCTCTATGTCCTAGACCTTCATGCCAGAAGTAACAGGATGTCTTGTCATTGCCTATTTCTGATATCGTAAAATTAAAACAATTTAATCTTGATTTATAGTAAAAAGCTGATGTTTGTCCCATAGGTACTGGCAGGACAGCTTGTAGGTCATACATTACCAAAACTGTATTTGATCCATCTTCTTTTGCTTTTTCTTTGTCTGAAGCTTTCTCAGTTCTACTTAGTTCTTTTTCCTCTTGATGTGACTTATACTGACATTGTAATTTTTCTTTTTCTTCGTCAGGCGCGTTTTTAAATGATTCACACAAGTCGCATTGGTCTTTCTTTGGGAAAAAGAAACCAATATTGAATTGTGTATTAAATATGTAGGCGTAGGCGTCATAGTTTGCAGCAGGCTGGCCCAAATCGTCTTGTTGCTTTTTATAGTGTCTGTGCATTTCTGCAATCGATAAACCGCCATCTATAAACTCTCTTGATGTGTTAGCCCTTTGGTAATGGCTCTCTGTACGGGGTATAGAATTTATATGTGATTTTACAGACACCATCATTTCAGGGTTCATCTTTACCTGTTGACCATGTTTTCCACGTTTATCTTGCGGTACAATTCCAGACCCAGAAGCTTTTGCTTGGATAATTGTTCTAATTGATCTCTCCTTAATGCCAAAAGTGTTCATCAGGTATGTTTTGCATACACGCATTTTTTTTTCCATTGTGAAGCAGATAGAAAGCACAGTTCTGTCTTCTAGGTGTTTGGATAGTTCTTATGCGGCGATAACTCAACTGAAGTGATTCAATACAAGAAGACAAATAATCACGTTGTCTCTGCAGTGATCCTAGATTCCAATACTGCTGAAAGAAATCAGCTCTATGGTCTTCGCTAAACTTCTCTGAACACTTCTGAATGCAACGATTAGAGCAAGTAGGTCCCATTGTTTTTTTATTCACAACTTTTCCAGTTCTTGAAATATAACTTTTTCCTGAATTCTTAAGGAGTTTAGCTTTATTTTTTCGCCATTCTTCTGGATTTCTTACTCTCTTCTTACCTTTTTTGATGAGCGTACAATTTTCTGTATTATTCAGAGGACTTATTTTATTTTCAGAAAATAGACTTCTGGGTCTCTTTTTCTCTTTTATGGTAGGGGTCGAATTTGTTTCACTTTCCGACGATATATTATTTTCTGATGGTACATAGTTGTCACTATCTTCTCCAAATAAGCTGTTCTCATCATCTGAGGAATGTTGCTCATTATAGACTGTTCGAGACATTTCTCTCAAAGTGATCTTGGTTGATGAGTGGGTTTCAACAGAATATGATGTACTGGGTTGTGTTTCATAATTGTTTGAAATACGTAGATTATCTAAAAGTAATTAATAATCAATAAAAGTAATTTTGATTAAAAAAGGAAAGTACCTACCTGGTCCAAGTTCACAAGGCTTATGTAGGAACATAATATTAGGGTCTAAACTCGAGGAATTCGGACTTAAATTCACTGGCTGCAATTCTGATAAAATGACCGCATCATTGAGTGTTTCTGAAATATTATTGTCTTCCAATACTGATGGTTCCTCTGGAGTACTGTTCTCTTCTTGTAAATTGTGAGTGGCTAAATGAAGTATCAGCTCAATCCTTTTCATTATTCAAGATTATATTCGCGTTTTATTTCTTCACTGAAATACAAAAAATCTATTATATTGACTGTTTTTACACACACTATTTCACACAAATATTCAATGTTATTTGAGTTAACCATGACATAAATACTGGTTAAGTGACTATAAAATTTACTATTCAAAAACCATAACGACGTAAATGTGTACTTACGGCTTTAATCATCTAGCAAGTCGCCAGAGATATCAAATTTTCTAGGCGAACAATAACACAACTGTCCGTTACGCTGATGTTTCTCTGAGATTACACCAAAACTTTATTTTATTTTGTCACAATCTACACTTATGTCGTTGTAGAAATATAAACGAAGTGTTCCGTTCGACAGTCTTTGAACAACTGACATTTGCGGCGATTTCGTTCCAACAATATGGCAGAAAGTACATAATTTTGACAACGACGCAACTGCTTTCTAGCGGCCAATAAATGTACTACCTTTATGGTATTGTTCCATCCGATAGAATGGCACGTTCTGACTCTTTTGACACATGTAACTCAAAACTGCAAAAAATTGCACTTACGTCTTTGTTGCTCCGGAGAAGCGATATATATATATATATATGTATATATGATATAATGTTATAAAATCTTTCTGTCAATGAAATAATTATAATTAAAATTTACTTACAAATCTCTTTTCCTTTTAGATATTTGAGATATTTGGTAAGCGTTTTTAAAAGCTTTGATTCTTATTGAATTCCCATAATGATCCCATTTGCAGATTTTCAAGTTCTCGTAAAATTGATCTAAGTTGTCCTTGTCGTAAGAAATGTCTGGATGTCCCAATATCATTATCATGCGTTTTAATTTAGCAACTGCATTGTCCTTTGATTCTTGATCCATCCAGCTAGTATTTTCTATTATTTCTCTAAATGAATCTGTTAGGTCCTCTATTAACTTGATCACCTACAGTCAAGAGAATGAATATATTTAGCACTGTTATAGAATAAGAGTTTGGATATATCTCGTTTATAAGTCTATAGTATACTGTGTCAGAACTGAACAATTATATTTAAACTCAGCCGAGATATCACAATGTAAATAAAAGTTACAAGATCAAAATTTTTGCTGTTTCATATATTAGATACATATTCGCCCCCTCCAATCAAAAAATATTCCTTAAAAAAAGGTAAGCAAACTTTTATCACGAAAAATTAGGTAGCAAATTTGCCTGGTAGCCAGAGAGTTATGGGTTTGTGAGTGTTAAAAAATTGTGCTTACCTCTTGATAATTATTAACATTAAAATGATTTAGTTGATATCCATACGCCACTGCAAAACTTAAACCTGCTGTTCCTGTAGAGTCCAATATTTTTCTTACACAATATTCTTGCCTAAAAATGATATTAAGAAGCTGTAATAATAGATTTTTTTATGTTGTTTATGTTTCTTCGCATAAATTATGTCAAGATTTTTGTGAGTTGGCCATCATTTTCGGCAAATGTTATATCCTAAGCGTTTCGCTTTTGAAGGTTTAATTCACTATACACTGCTCTTTGTTTTTTAAATTATGTGTAAAATATCAGAAATCTAAAAACGTAATACGTTTTAAAGAAACAATAGACCTACACCAATCACAGACAGTGTAATTAATAGGTGACTTAAATGTAGGGATGCCCAAAGGTTTGAGACTTCGAGAATTTCGTCTCGTCTCATCTTAAATTCGAGACGATATCGATACAAGAATTTTGTATTAAGTTTCAATATGAGACAAGATGTTGGGCTCGAGAAAATTTTAATTTTAAATTAAAAAGATTTTTTTTAATTTAAAAATTGTCTCGTAAAAATTCATGAGTTAAAATGCAACTAATACATTAGCACCTTAAGATGAAGGTTTGAACGGGTTTAAAAATTTTTTGCGTTGCTTCTTCTTGGGGTGCCTGTCCGTTCTGAACGTTGGCGATCATTCTGGCTATGATGACTTTGTTGGTTGCTAGCCAGAATATTCTTCTTCGTCCTGGGGCTCCTTTTCCTTCAATTTTCATCATTATCATCATTATCATTTGGCTCTACAACTCTGTGTGAGTGTTAGCCGCGTTTACTATTTCCCTCCATTGATGTCGGTCCTGGGCAGCTATTTCTTATTTCCTTCAATTTTACTCTGCAAAATGCATTGAAGTAGCTCGTATCTGCCTTGATTTTTCATTATATATCTCTATATGTAAGTACTATAGCTTACGGCTCTTCACGATGTTGACCAAATCCGCAGTTGTGTTCATCCTTCGCAGTACAGCTTTATTGGTAACTATGTCTTTCCATGGTATCTTTAGGATCCTTCTGTATGACCATAGCTCAAAAGCCTAAAGTTTTGATAAAGTTTCTGCCTTCAATGTCCACGTTTCTACTACGTACGGAAGCACTGAGTACACATAACATTTAAGGAGCCTTATTTTTGTTTCTACAGTGAGGTAATGCTTTGCTAAATTTTTGCCTTTCCGATGCGACATTTAATCTCTTGGATATTGTCCCACGACTCATTGATTATGGTAGTATTTATAAGTAGTAGTAGTATTGATAAGTAGTATTCAATATGTCTTTAGCTAGCAATAAGATTTTTAACGCCACGCTTAAATCAGTAATATAATCAACGAAGATCAATGAATAAGAAAAAAAATCACAAATAACACAGATGTAGACGGAACTAACGTAATCCAAGAATTCGATGAACTGGGAATTAACTACAAACTGTCGAGCTAATAACCAAGCGGACCAGCACACTAACTTTAATGTGAGGACTTTAGTCGATTCGTGGATAGAATCCCGGCACAAGAGGCAAAAAAAAGAAAAAATTTAACGTTGAAATCGTTTTCAAAAGAGAAATTTAAAAAATTGTAGGAAAGGATAACCAACAAGTTATTAAAATGGGTTATGGTTTTTAAAACTAACTGTCGAGTTACTTGGCCTCTATCTTTAGGCAACATATTTCTTTTGAGTTGGCAAAAAATCCGGCGGTGGTGTTTTTACCCTCGGAATATCAAATTCTAACTGTTTTGTGTGTTTTATTGTTTTATTTTATTCACACATTTTTATCATGTGTGGTTAACGTAGACTATGTGTTTGTGTATTGTGCATATGCATTGTGTGTAATTGTAGATGATGTCTGCGGCTTCCTTTGCTATAACTGGTATGTTCTTGTTGGTTGACATCTTCTTTTAGTACTGGAAACCAAAGCGTGCTATACTCTGCTAATGAGTTTGCTACACATGTTTCTTCATTAAATAGGATGAGAGCTGCTTCTTTGATTGTTTTTATGTCTGTTTCTTTCATGATTATTGATGTATGTTTTCATTGTACTCTGTGCTTCTTAATCCAGACATGTTTGCATATCTGATATTTTTTGACGCAGTGTCTGTTCTTGATGTATGTTTCATACCTGTTTATCCTGACACTTAGTCGTCTTGCGGTTTCTTCTGCATAGAAATTGTTGCATTCATAAGGTATTTTATAAAAATTGTTTAAACAATTTTTTTAAACAGATTACCAAAATACCTTTTTTTGCTTAAAAAAATATTTTTTTGGGTTTATGATGTCATTTTAAATAAAACAGCTTTGTTGATCTTTTTCTATAACCCTTTAAAGACGAGCGCACACGATCATACACTTTATTTCAAAAAATTCCTGCCTCTTCTCTAATCAACTTTGCGGGCCCAGAACGGTAGCGAATGATACTGCACAAGTCTGTTTATGTGGACGTGTGAGAAGGTATTTAGTATTGGGTGACCTTTCTGATAAGATGTAGGTGTATTTTGTCAAAGAGACTTCGACATTTCACTTGAATTTTGCTTTAAATGTTTTGTTTAGTTAATAAAGTAATCGGGTGAACAATATTTTTGGCATTATTGACTTTATATAGGGAACATAACCTCTCGAAAATTTGTTCGCACGAACGTGACGTTCCGACTCAAACTCATCTTTCGGTGTCTTACTTTTTAATGCCATGAAATAATATTTTTTCGCTTTAAATTAAAATATTAATATTTTTTGCTTTTTGGAATGGAATTATCGAGTGAGTTGGTGCTTCAGCTTATTGGGGATGGCAGCGATTCTGAAATTGAAGAAGTAGAAGATGACGAGGGTGATCAAGAAGACTCGTTTCTGCCGTTGATACATATTAATGAGCCTGAGATACCTCCAAGTTTAGACCCATCGTCTGCAACTGCTCCTGAAAGTCTACAAAAAACCGAGACAGTCGCCAAATAATCTGAAAGCAAATGCTAGATATACCAGAAGGAACACTGCTATCCAGAGTGATTGCCAGCAGCTCTTAGATCTCCTTCGGAATATTTTGACGAAAACTTTTTTGAGGATGCCTCAGTTTTATAGTTTATTCGTCTTCCGGGTTTGGACCGTGTCATTTGTGAGTGACCCAAAAGTGGGTTCATCTCGACGTTTCGCTACAATTGTATGTAGCTTCTTCAGGAGAACAAAAAAGAAAAAAGAAAGAAAGAAGAAAACAAAGAACAGGAAGATGGGTAGTTAGCAACGGTAACTCAGTTACTCAACGCAACCAGAGGCGAATACTAACTACCAAGATGGGCATTTGGTCACAGTAACTCAACTACTCAACGCAGCCAGAGGTGAAAACCAAATGCCAGGACAGGGATTCACGTCCAACAGCTCAGAACACTAACGCGTCGAGAGGCGGGGAGTGAATCCGACGATTACTCCGCTACCGCTCTATTTATAGTCGCGGTGCCTGTCGTGTCGGGACGTATCGGCACACTTCGTGGCGCGAACGTCAAGAAGCGCGCGCTGGCCAATCATGTGGCTGCATCGTAGTGGCGGGACCGGACGGCGGTTCTAGACTGAGATTCCAGATGGGAGACAAGTAGTATCCTTCCTCTCGATTGATATTATGGGGATTTTTTCGGATCTCTAGAGATTCGCGGATTTTCCTGGAATAAAAGAAGGGGCTTTTAGAAATAATATGGGTTTTTTCGAACAATATGGAATGACCGGTTTCTTGGCAGTGTTCTGCAACTGCAGAATGGGAGAAAAGACCTGATCGAATGCATCTTTGATGCTCTTGAATCCGAGTTTTGACGGAACGACCAGTTTCGCCAATATACACATGTCCACATGAACAAGGAATAGAGTAGACACCACAGGAAGATAGGGGCGGTAATGGGTCCTTAGGAGAGGGTAGATATTGTGAGATTCTCTTGGGTGGTCGAAAAGTAGTCCTGATACCTTCTTTGCGAAGAATTTTGCCAATCCTATCAGTGACATTTCGAATATACGGAAGAAAAGCCACAGGAGTATTACCCGAAGATTCTGAATTTGTCGTCCTAGGGTGTAAAGGGGGATGTAGATGTCGGTGTGTAATATTTTGAATTGTGGACTTGGAGTAACCGTTGGCGACAAGGGTTTTTTGCAGATGGCCAAGTTCTTCTCTAAGGTTGTCGGGTTCAGAAATCGAAATGGCCCGATGGATGAGAGAGTTGATCACAGAATTCTTTTGGGCAGGATGGTGGTGTGATGAAGCATGTAGGTAACGATTCGTGTGAGTCTTTTTTCTATAAACAGAGTGACCCAATCGGCCATTGGGCTTGGAGGTGACTAACACATCGAGAAAGGGAAGGGACCGATTATTTTCTACTTCCATTGTGAATTTTATACTCGGATGTTGTGAGTTAAGATGATCTAGGAAGGGAGAAAGGGTATGTTGACCATGGGGCCAGATGATAAATGTATCATCAACGTAGCGGAACCAGACTTTTGGTTTTAAGGGGTAAGATTCTAGGGCTAAAGACTCAAAGGCTTCCATGAAAATGTCAGCAATGACAGGGGAAAGGGGAGAACCCATTGGTGTTCCAGATATTTGTTTGTAGAAATTGCCTCTAAAAGAAAAATATGTTGAAAGGAGGCATTTTTCCGCAAGATCTGCCAAAACCAAAGACTTGTTATCATTGGTCAAGTGATCTCGCAGAACGACTAGAGAGTCATGTATGGGGATATTGGTAAATAGGGATGATACATCGAAACTGACGAGAATGTCTTGGGGATCGACTGTGAGAGAGGAGATTAAGGTGATGAAATGTGTGGAATTTCGGACATAAGAAGAGGTGCGACCAGTATAGGTCTTAAACTGATTCGACAAGTACTTTGCGAGTTTGTAGGTAGGAGAGTTAATCGTAGTCACAATGGGACGAAGAGGTACGTTATCTTTATGGATTTTGGGAAGACCATAAATTCTGGGGCAGATGGAGTTTTTCGGAACTATGGACTTCTTAATATCATCGGAAAGATCGGATTGTTTGATGACATGGGCAATTTCGCGTTCGACTCTAGGAGTGGGGTCTCGAGAAATAGTATTATAACAGGATGTATCCCT